GCGTTATGCATGGCAATTAGAAATGTATATTTATAAAAAATCTGACCCAAATACTGCGTCCAGCAAGAAATCCTCAGGAAAGCAAACAGATGTGTAACTGCAAGCGCATACCCACACACAGCAGCGCAAACATTTCAGCATTGGTATGTAGAATTCAATATATCCACCCGCACCACCCATCTGTGAACGAAGCGAACGCGGCGAACATGAGGATCGTACGGTACGGTAAAAACAACAAAAACAGCAAACAAAAAAACGGCAGAGACAGACTATTGAAATAAAAGCACGCAGCAGCAACGTTCGCTGCTTTCTCTTCGTGCGCTGGGGTTGGCGCTGGGGGCGAATTGACGACGCGTCGTCGCTTTGCTTCGTTCTCGCTGCCTGCGTGCATATTTTGTGTGTTCTCCTTATTGCTCTCCTGGCGCGTTTGCGTAAGTGAGCGTGTGTGTGTGCCTGTATGTTTGTGTGCTGTCGACGTTTGGCCCCTTGATAAAATTGTGTATGCCAGCCGTTCGCTGCTCTGCTCCACCTTAGCTGCAGCCGCAGTCGCAGCAACAGTTGCGCGCTCAATTAAGCTTATCGCGCACTGTGCGTACATATGTGTATGTATGTATGCATGTGTTTGTATGTGTATGTATTGCTGCCTGTGCCTGTTGTGTGCTGGGATACTTGCGCTTAGTGCTTTTTTGAGGTACTTTTCTCTTGTTCGCGCTCCTTGACGACTGAGGAAAAATATATTTGCTTGCTATTCAGTTTGTCTGCCTGCCAGTCTCTGCATATGAGTGTGTGTTGGTGTCGTGTGCAAAAGGCAGCGACGCAGCGTTAAAAATCCTCTTTGAGAGGATTAAATATACATACAACAAACAGCTTTTGCTTATTGTCATGTGCTCTTTGCTTTGTGCGTGTCGCACAGTGTCACACAAATGCTTTGCTTGGCATGAATACCAAAATAGTCAAGCATCCTAATTGACATTACGCTCGTCAACCACTGTGAATGGCTAGTTGCCTTTCTTCCTCCACCTCAGCCTACTCAGCTGTCAGTGTTCCATAAACGGACAATGTCCCCTGGCCAGAGCTTAAGGGTAGCAGCAGCAGAGGCAGCGACATCGACAGCGACGCTTTCAATTACATTTCATTTGCATTTCGTAGCTGCTTATTTTTATACATATGTGTGTGTGCATGTTTATTTTTGCTGATGTTGCCTTTATTTCTGCACACTCACACACACATGCATAAGTCCTCAGTGCTTTTCGTCGTTGCTTTAACCAATCGCATGCAAAATAGGAAACGATTTTTTGCCTGGCCACAACTGGGCGAATACTTGACGCGGACATTGGACATTGAGCTGCGCTGGCGACGTTGGCAGCGACGTCAGCGGCGTTAATTGAATTAAAGCGCTTACAAAATAAATAGGCTGCAGACGGATGTGCAAAACTCATGTACTTTCTCGCTCGCACTCCCGCACACATTTTGTCTTTCTCTCTCTCTCTCTCTGCTTCTATGAGCATAAGCTTTGATTATTCGCATGTTGAAATCCTTTCGGCAGACGTTGCATATTTTTCTTCATATAACTTTTGGCCCACTTCCTTTGCTCAAAAAGAGAAAAAAAGCGAAGAGGCAGCAGAAAAATTTGTAGAAATTCGAAAATGTTGCTATCACTTCGCTTGCTTTTTGCTACATTCTTTTCAGTTCGAAGCTTTACTTTTGTTGTTGTTGTTGCTGTTGTTATTGTTGTTTTTGCTCAATTGCAAAACATATTTTGGTCACTGACCTTTTCTTTTATTTTGCCTGCTTTTGGACAGTATTTTGTTGTTGTTGTGTTCCACTTTTTAAATTCCGCTGCTGCTGCTTCTGTTGCTGCTGGATTCGTTGTTGCAGCTTTTCCTTGTGGCGAGCTGCTGTTGAGCAACTGTTAACTTGAGGGTTAATAACGCGCTCAAACAATTGCATAAAACCTTTAAAAAATCATACGTATGCATGTATGTGGATGTGTGTATGATGCACTGCTTGAGATAAAAGCGCAGCACGTCAAGTGATAAAAATCAGAAGCGTATTCAGCAACAACAATGCAAAAGTAACTAAAGAATTCAGCCGAAAGGCAAAAGAAAAAAGAAGAAGAATAAGTAAAAGCAATAAGCAGCAACGAATGGCAGAGCGCATTGTCAATAATTTGTTGTTTTTTATTTTTGGGAATTTTTTGCACTCTGTTGAGTGCATTTCTTTAGGAAGGAGCTTTACAGCTGTGTTGGCTTAAATAACCAGAAGAGAGAAAGAGAGAAAGAGAGAGAGAGAGAGAAAACAATAACTAAAGGAGAAACAGAAATGAATAATGTATTGATTGTTATTTATAAATATATTCAGGAAATTGTAGTCAAAAAATCGCTGCGTAACTAGGTACAAGTTTCTCAAAGCGCAAGAGTAGGATGTGACAGGAGAGATGAAAACATCCGTATATGTGGGTGTGTATATGTAAATGGTATTCAACAAAAAGTCCATGTCGTCAGAAAAAACCCAAGAGCGCAGAGCAACAGAGCATTTGATAGAGTAGATTGTGTTTGGCTTTTGTTTCAGTTTACAGTTGTCGTGCATGTGTTTTGTTTTTATTTATATTTTGGTTTTTGTTTTTATATTTTTGTGCTACTGCATTAGGCAGCTAAACAGTAGCAAGCGCTAAAAAGTGTTAGTCATGTTGACGCGTCTGTGCTCAGCGCTCTCTTTTTAATTGCTCCGCGATCGCCGGCTGAACAACAGTTATAATTTGAGAATAATTTTGTTGTTGCGCGTGTGCTGAGCGCAAAGTGTGCGCTGCTAAAAAGCTTTGCAAGAGACACAGATTGTGTGAAAGAGAAAAAAAGAAATAGAGACGAAAAGAGCGAACACGACGCTATTATTGTTTTTGCTGCTGCCACTGCTGCTGCTGCTCTGTTTCATTAACAAAACAACAGCAATATTTATGTGTGATTAGCTGTGCGGTTATTGTTGTTGTTGCTGTTTAAGTTGGTTTCCTTAGCGCACACTGCATGCACACATACAAACATGAAATCAGTGTGTGACTGTGTGCTTGTTGGTGTGAAGTGGGTTAAGCTGACAAAAAGCAACTGGAGATTGGAGATTGGGATTTGAGTTTTTTTTTTCTACAACTTTAATGTGATTTGCATAATTTGTATTTGCTGACTCTGTGTGTGTGTGTGGTCCGCACAGGTGTTGTAGCTAGTCGTGCGCCAGGGTTGCCATAACGCCGCAGCGGAAGTGACGACGACGTCGACGCCGCGCTGCGACTACGACCGAGGCTGCTGGGAACTGCAATGGGAGCTTTCATTGCATAGTGTGTGAGAGACAGAAGGAGAGAGAATGACAGAGCTGTAGATCTATACATATACGCATGTATTTATGCTGCGCAACTCATAGTTCGCCTGCTCTCTCACTCACACACATACGTTTGCTTAGTTCATTCAGAAATTACGCAGTGCTGTTGTTAATATACCCTGTATTCATGTGCAACGAATTGCTAAGAGCAAATAATTTTAAATAAAATTTTATAGGTTAGTGAATAAACGCTTAAAGAGCTTTTATCTCTGAATAATTTGAAATAAATACAATATTTTTCTAATAAATAATACCTTGTATAGGGAATCGTATAGTCAGTCACTTGGCTAGAATAATTGCTTTAGCTATTGTCTATACACACATGGACTCACAGGCCCAAGCAATGGAATGTGTCAGCCCAACCAACTACTGCACGCGAATCGGGGATCTACTATTAGAGGCCCACCCTCCCCTCTGCCCTGTCCCTGCCTCCACTGCCCCACTTCTCTCTGCTTTTTTGTAGCGCAAAAGGGGTGCGGCCTAGCTGACTGTTTGACGATTGACGAATGGGGCTGGGAATTGCGATCCGATTCGGATCCGATTCAGATCCGATTTGGATCGTTGTTTGGGTTTGTTGTGCAGCGGCGAATTGGAAAACAAAAAGGAAATGGGAGACGGAAAATGAGAAAGATCACTGAAGCAAAACCGAATAGCAACAACAACAAACCAATTTGTATCTATGTATCTATGTATCTGTCTATCTACATAGCTATATAGTATGTACAGCTACTTGATTTGCAGTACGAGATACAATATGCCCGACTGCCTTCACTGTGCATTCACAATGGATGCATGAAACGAGGCTTGGATTATTATCCAAGCTAAGCAATATTATTATATTTTTATTATAAAGCTAGGAGACTATGCTGAGAATATCTTTCTTTTAAAAAACTTGAAAATAAAAATAAAATGAACTATGAGTTTCCTTATTGTTCCAAAATATGTATATCACATGTATTCCTGAATATATAATTTAATATATTCTTAAAAAGCATATTTATTTAGCTATACACGCTAAGCTGGTATTAAAAAAGTTAAAAAGAGAAGTTAGCTAATGTAAAAAATCAATTGTTATTCACATAACGTTAAAGTATTCATTATTTGTTTTTAAATCTTTGAGATTTTGTTGTTTGTGCTCATTAACTTTTCTCTTGGAATAAACCAAAATATTACTCTCAAAAAATTCTCCAAGCCTTTGATTCTATAATGGTTCATATATATCTGCTAATAGATACTTATAGATAATTATGTTTATTATAAATATTTAATATAATTTATCATATCATAATAAATCATCTGTCACATATCAAATGTTCACAGTTTCGCACAAAGATTTCATTTTAATAGGTATAATTCGAGATACAAGCAAATGAGTGTTTATAGAAATTCTAGGAAATACAAAATAAGTCAGCGATCCACAAGTTGGAGACCTGTTGGAAAGGAAAAAAAGTGTGGGGAGCTATCGGCAGCGGAGAGGGTGAGAAGTTTCGTTGGTCGCGACATGTTGCTGACGTTTTTACTGTTACATATTCATTCAATTTGCAAATGCAAATGCAATCAAATAGACATGAATACATGTACATAAATACATACATATGCATGTAATGTTTTGTTGCAACTTCTTCAGCACTTACCGTTTCTTGACAGCTGTATTAATCCGCTGCTGGTTGTCTTTAATTTGTTGTTGCGTTGGAAAGTTTATTTTGTTTTTGTTTTTGCGTTTTTTTTTTCGATAATTTTTGTTTTGCTTTGCTGAATAACTGTAAGCACACACACTTGAGGCACTGTTTCAGATTTCGGATTTCTGCTATTCGCCGTTATTCTTGATCGTATAATTCGTCGTTATTCTTTTGTTATTCCAAAAAGGCAGAGTCAGGCGAGAGTTGCAACAGTTGTGAATAGGTTGAAAACGGAATTGAAAATAACTCAATACACAATTCACAGCTGAGCTGAGCAATTGCCGCGTGCAAGCAACGGCGGCGCACGAATCTCCAATCAGAACTGAAACGTAGGGATGTCGACGCAGACGCCGTTGCCGTGTTGTCGTTGTCCCTGAATGTTAATGTTTGTTGCTGTTGCTGTCGCTGCCGCTGCCAGCGTCGCGACGTCGGGCACGAACGAGAGCACGATCACGAAAAACCGAACTGTGAGCGGACAGGGCGGCAGAATTGGGTTGTCGGTTAGGAGAGGAGCGGCGGCTGGGCGAAAGAGTTGGTTGGAGCCGATGAGGCTGCGCCTTAGTATGCGTGTGTGTAGAGTAGAAACGAGCGTGTGTGTATGTGTGTGTTGTCTGTTTGTGGGTTTCGAGGGGCTGCCACGACGACGAACACACGCGCCTGTTTTACGACGTTTGCTGGTGTTGGTATCGATGTCGTCGCCGTTGGGTGGATAATAATATCGTCGTCTACGCTCTGCTCCCGTTTCGTGTTTTGTAATGGCGGCTTTCAAATGTGATAAATGGCCGTGTATGTGTGTGAAGCCGAGTCGCAGCCTTCGTGTGCGCTAGAAACCGAAATGAAAAAAAAAAAACGTTAAGTGGGATGTTGACGGACGCGGACGAGCGGATGAAATGGAATGAGCGTTTGAATTGGCTTGGCGGCCAGCAAAACCAACCAAAGTGCTAAAACGCCGCAGTCGGCCCAGAGCAGATAACGACTGAAACAGAGAGAGAAAGAGAGAGCGCAAGCGAACAGCCAGAAACTTGACATTTTGACTTGGCGCTCACTAATACGAAGACAGTGTGCGGCGAGCAGAGCAGCAGCAACAGTCGCCGCTGCGTTGGCGCTCTTTTTAGGCGTTCGCCCTTTACGCTCTTGACTCACTCGCTCTCTCGTTTCTTTCGTGCTCTCTCTCTTTGGCTGCCTGATAAGCGCATGTCGAAATCAAGTGAGCACTGGTCTGCTGCAGCGCATGCTCTCCACTTGGGCTTCCTTTTGCTCATTCGTCGCTGTGACCTGTCACTGCTGCTCTGCGCACTGCTCCAACCCAGGTACTTTAGTGCTGTAGTTGCTTCAGCGTATTACGAAATATGACAACAATGCAGTTTTCGTGGCTGCGCGTTTGCTCGTCCTCGTTTCGCTCTGTCGCCGTCGACGCGACGTTGCTTCTGCAACTTGGGCTAGCAGTTATTGCATGCTCAGCATAAAGCTGCGCTCTCAATACTGCACTCTCACGCCGCTCTCCCACTCACTCACGCTCTTCGCAAGTGGGTGGCTCTTAGCTTACGCTGCTCTGTTTGTTTATTTCTCCTCGCATCACTTGCAAATCGATTGCATCTTGATGAAGTCTTTTTTTGTTGTTATTTTTTCATTTCATTTTTTTTGCTCGGCAATCTGCACTATAAATAGTAACAGGGAAATTTTCTAACGCGGAACATTCCGCTACATCTATTTTATAAATGCCATCCCAAAGAAAACGGGTTTTCGATCAGAACGCGTGCCTCGCTCGCTAGCGCGCGTCTCATTGAAACCGAAATGAAAATCACTTTTCCCCGCTTCACACTTGAGCTTAATTTTATGTGCATACCAATTTTACAAACGGGGGAACCCTACGCCCCATTTCAGTCGGGGCTGCAATTAATGGTATTTATTATAATGGTATTTCAATATTTAAATACTGGGGCGGTACCCAGCCTCAGAGAGAGCTCACAGCCTTAGATAACGCAAGGATCATTAACGTATCGTTAATCAAAATGCCCAGCAAATTCCCTCGGGCATTCTCGTTCGATACCATGTATCCATTACAAATTAGATGAAAAAGGGTATGAGAGTTTATATATTAGGTGGAGGGGGACTCAAGTTCATTGAAATGTCGCAACATATTGGGAACTTTAAGATTAAGGATTATATGTATTTTATATATAAAATAATTTTTTTTAATGTAAAAAGGGTATTTGAAAACGTATTAAAATTTACCTTTTGTATAAATGATATCATATCAAGAAATATTTTTGACGTAACTCTTATTAAACTGACTGACTGTAAAATCTAATTCCGATTCCAGACGTAATTCGAAGAATGTTAAAGTTGTATAATATATTTACTATATATGAAATCTATTGCATATACTTTTAGCTTGGCTTTACTTCAGGGAATTAAACTTTTTTTCTAAACAATTGCAATATCAATTTAAATTAATTGCTTTTTAGCGTATTTCGTCAGAGGCTGATTGTCATATTTAAAACCAAACTATGAATCATTCGGACCATCAACAAAGGGTGTGTATATTACGCTATGGTCTAACTATAGACAGAGACACGCTGTAATTAGCGTTCAATTTACTGTAGATATGTAATTATGAAAAGAGTTATATATAATGATTTTAAGGTTTTATTTTTAATTCATAAACTACATAAATAAAAAAATAAACAAAAGTTTTAATAAAAATAAATTATTTATTTTCAATGCTTTTTATATAAATCGAACATAGGATCTGAAAATGTGGAGAAATTTATGTACAAAATGGCGAGAGTCGAATGCCAATTGTTTTTCAGAATCAATGAAAATAGGTATTAGATAGAGAGAGGAATAGAGTTTTTAAACTAAAGTATTTTTCTTTTGTTCAAATATTGATTTTAAAAAGGTAAACATTTTGTGAATTTTACATTTAGATTTAAGGTTTTTATAACCCTTTATATTATATATACTATAAATAAAATAAAATTAAATTACCGTCTGTAATAGTGAGATCCATTACTGTGTCCTTGAATTAATATTTCTATTAGATAATTCGATAGCTTGCATAACCCTTATACGTTTGGGCATTGCCCAGTCTTATAATTATCCATCTTCAAACATTTCCAATTGGTTATAGAGGCGATAAAGGCCCTGGGTACTGCCCATTCAAATAATGGGTTCTATAACTGGGCTAACGTTGATCAACAGGTTTGTGGGCTGCGCGAGCTGTTTTTTCCCCAACAATCCATATAAATTCATTGCTTAATTATTGTTGCTGTTGTTGTTGATGTTGTTGTCGCTTAGCGGCATCCAAATTTGCTTTTAATTAAAAAAAACTCTCCAAAGTGTTTTGCACAAAGGCGTATTTCTCTCTCTCTGGCTCTCATTCTCTTTTAGTCCCCCTCCCTCCCTCTCAATCGCTTCGTGTGTAGATTAACCTTCGTCGCCTGTGCGTAGGGGTTTTGCGTATGTCTCTCAATTATTTACCCAATCGCCCCTCCCGCTCGCTATACCCCACTCGTCCCTTGCCAATCGATCCATTATTTATTAGACCAAAGTCGTGCACTTCGTCAACGTTGAATCGAATCCGTTTTCAAATATAAAAAAAAAATAAAATAAAAAAAATGGGTATTCTGCGTGGGATACTCCAATGTTTTGATATACCAGCTTATTATATAGGCATGTTCGATGCTCTGTAATGCCAATATGTTAAAATATTCCTTTTTCGTTAAACATAGTTTTTGTAGTCAGCTAAATAATAAATAAAAAATAAATAATAAATAAAAAACAAAAAGTATATATATCATATTAAATAGTTAAATAACAAGATAAATCTGCAAAGACAGGGTATATTCGAGTCGTATACTCTCACTGCTGTTCATTTTGGCTTGTTTATAATACGGATTTGTGGCTAATGCTTGAACAAACTGGTTTCCCCATTGGCCAACTTGCCCATCAAGGAATCTCTAGACCCAATTTGTTTATTTTTAGTTTCGATTTCGAATGGATGCTAAATTGTATGAAACGCATAAGATTTGAATTTAATTAAATGGCTACGCCTGCGGAATGACACACCTTATTGGATCATATGGAGAGTTATAACTAGTATATCTCTGATCTTTTAGTCAGCCATTCGAGAATTCCCAGTGATTGGGAAATGTCTACAAAATTGCCCATTGGATGAGCTTAAATTTCCCTGCTGTTATATATTTGCTGTTAATCCTTACTGTAAAGCAAGTGCCATTGGATTTTTTCAAATTAAAAATAAATATTAAAAATTAAATTATTTTGAAGATATGTACATTAAAATTTCGTATAAAAGCAATAGTCTATATCTCTATCATATGTAATTCTGAGAGCCTAAAAGCATATGCAGATGATTATGTAAATTGTTTACCTACGCCTAACTGTAAAGGGAATGGCCACAGCAAAAAACTTTGTTGCCAGCATAAATACCAAAAAAATAAAAATATAAGAGAGCTCCCTAAGCTGCAACGCATTAAAATGCTTGACCTGAATTCCAGGCCCAACGCGGCTCAGTGAAACTAGCTAAAGATGTGAAGCCCAAAAAGTGAGACTAACTTGGTTTTCCTTAACGGAGTTTTCTGTCTCTTGTTGTGTGTGTGTGTGTGTGATTTTCCTGCTAGTTGTGGATCGCTCGCTTCCCAAAAGCTATTCCAACTGGAATGCAGTTGCCCAGCTGCACAGCACATTCCCGTTTGCTATTGTCGCTGTTGCTATTGCTATTGCTGTTGCTTTTGGCTGGCAGCCATTTTTGTTTTTGTGTGTTTCTTTCCTACACGTAATGAGCGCGCCCTTTTTAATGCAGCGCTCGCCTAACAGCTAACGGTAAGCGCTGAACGGCTCTCTCGCTCAGTTTTCTCACACTCCATTATGGCGGTGCTTCGTCGGCCGAGGCTTGGCTTTGGCCTGGGCTGCTCTGGAAGCTTCTACGCTGCTGCTGGAAAAAAGCTGACGCGAAATGTTTTTTCTTCACTTTTTTCTTTTTTTCTTATTTTGACGAAAACAACCACAAAACGGAAAACTTGGTGCGCTCAACTCTTCGCACTCTCCAGTTGGGGTCAAGTGAGCTGCTGTCTGCTTTGTTGCCCACATTGATTAATTTGTTGAAAAATAATAAGGTTGCCATCTAACGGATAGACACTGTGTTTGTGTTGTATTTTGTTAAAGCTTTTGACTTCCTTGGGTGCTTAATTGCTGGAAGTTTCAATATTCATGGACCGAAGAGTCGAAGAACAGAAGAAACCAAGAATCAACTTCAGCTAGACAAATGGCAATGCAATAATCATAATTACAAGTTAACCTTAAGAGTGACACAAATCCGGTCACAGCCACGTTGTGCGGCCCCTCGTTCGTTCCCAGCAATTAACTTCAAATGACACAAATGCCACCAAGGCACGCCACCGAGCAGCCACCCGCCTCTGCCGCAGTTGCTGCTGCTGCCGATGTTGACGTAGCGGCCGCTGTCACAGTCTCAGCCGCCCACATTGCAAGTGAACGGCAACTTTGTGACGCCCACAATGATGCGAAGCAGTTGCGGTTCATTTGATCGAAGCTTTATATATACACACATACATATATATACATGTATGTTTTTTCTCCGCTAGCATTCCATACAGCACTGTGTGTAGGACTTGGAGAGGGAGAGAGAGCGCAAATAACTAATGCGCAGAGAGCGCGAGCATATTGTGTTTATGAATTTTGTAATTGCTATCTCATCTTTGCTGTTAACTCCATACACACATACATAAGCACGCTAGTGTAAAGTGCAGCAGCTCTGCCGACAGTTGCTGCGGTTTTTTGGCTGCGCTGCGCTGCTTGGCTGCAGCTT